AAAGAGTTCCCTTTTATTTAACAAATCTTACGTGACCAGAGAAAACAAGCGCGCGCGGAAAAATAGTCTTTGCATTTGCTCACGTGAGCAGCGAACACCAATGGGCAAATGGGGGACGCTAAATTGACCAATCAGAGCGCGCGCTTTACTTTGGTATAAAAACGCATGTACGCAGCTTAGCTTACGCGGAGAGCATGCCGAAAGGCAAAGAGCAATCGCACAAACGCGCGGAGCCTACAGTTCAGAAGCCCATTACGAACTGGTTTGCAAACTCTTCCAGCCGAGAGGCAGCGGCAACCTCTAGCAGCGAGCCTACTTTGGCTGGCATATTTGGAATAGATCCCGAGGTATTGAGAGATAAGTTTGACCTAGAACCTTGTTGGCGGTACGACCCAAATCAGAGGGAAAACTTAGCTTTCCTATCGCCTACTGTGCTCCTCGCTGATTTGAAAATCAGAGATGGCGGACCGAAAGACAAAGGTCCGAAAGAGATTTTGTCGAGGGTTGCAAGAGATGTCTTAGACCCAAAACAGACTAAACATTACGAGCGTTATTTTTTCTTCCAAGTACCCGAGCTACCTAGCACACACATGGGGTACGGATTGACATCAGAAAATAAGAAACATAAAATGGCCATTACCGTGGAGGAAGCAAAGCTGTGGAGTGGATATCTTGACTTGGCGAAACGTAAGACATCTGGCGAAGTGTTGCATGAAAGCGGTACATCAGAAGAACCCATGGAAGTCATCTATCCAACACCAAAAGACACCCAAGCGTTTGAGTTTGAGAAAGGTGATGCAGAAGAATTGATCGATCCAAAAAAGAGTGGACTGAAACGTCCAGTGAAGGGATCTTACTTAATATTTTTCTCAATACTTCTCATGTTCTACCAGAAGAAGCTGTGTGGAAGGGAAGACTCCAGAAGTGAAGGAACACAAATCGGACCTAATAAGATCTCTGATTTTCTTATTTTTTGGATTTTGCCTTACCTCCTTAATTTTACTCAGAGGAAGGTTAACGACATCACTAGTCACCACAAAAGGATTAGTGAAGAGAAGGGTGAGCGAGGGTTTAAATTTCCAATTATCCAAAAGTCTGCCATGGAGATCATAGAAACTGCATTTCATTTCTCTAAGACTCCACTTCAAATATCTGGTTTGATAAGGAGGAAATTTAAGGAGTATTATGGAAAAGCTTGTGACAAGAAATTCAACCTACCACAAACCGAAAAAGGTACCCCAATACTTTTGGTCCCTCGATCCTATCAAGTGACAGACATGCCTCTTGAACTGGAGGATCTTGGATCAAGGTGGAGAGACATTGGTGATGTTACTCTCATGGATCATTTCATAGAGAAGTTTGTAAAAAGCGAAGAGATACAGAGAGATTTTTTTGCTTCCTTTGAACATGTTGAAAAAAGGTTTGGAGTTGACTATGGAATCATTCTTCCAGATCAAGAGACTTTCTCAGAAGTGATAGAGCAAGTTGAAAGTGATTTTCCCTCCACTTTTGAGCAAGTGCAAGAGCAAGGTCAGGACTTACTCTCACCCCGCCTTGGACTAGTCAAACACTCTGAGAGGAATCGGTCTGTGTGTTTCTCCTATTTTCCAGGTAATTGCATGACTAATGACATTAAAGATAAACATTTTGAAAATTTTAGAACTTTAATTTGTACCTCATTGTTGGCCTTGGAGGAAAATGTTGTTTAGAATACATATCTTAACATAAGGCCTGCCAAAACCTGAGAGAGTTCACCATTTGAAAATCCCATTAAAGTCAATCAGACTTCTGTCTATCAATTGTTTGCAGTCTGTTTGGATATCTCACACTCAGAATCTGACAATTAGTCATCAAACTCACAATGATTTGTTTCATTCTTATCAATTATTTGACATGTGTTAGACATTTTAATCTGTTTGTAGATATATATGTAACCATTATAAATTTGCAATATTCTAAACACTGCTCTTTGTGTTTGATTACTGGTCATTGTTGGTCTTTGAAGCTGGTATCTTTTAACACATATCATTTCAACACTGACTGCATGTATAGATGAAAAGAAATACATTGACCAAAATCTGAAGTATCCTTGTTTGAATACACAAGGAATGAAGTATATGGACATGAACAAATGTAATACAATAATTATTAATGTTGGCAAGTTTTGATTTAAAATTTTAAACTTTTTTTTATTAAAGGTCTCCATGTAAACACTGTATTGAAAGGAGGAAATAAACAAATTGAATTACAAATTTTAAAATTGTTGTCAGCGAGTTGACCAGTTTTGTTGGCAAGTTGACCAATGGTGGAGGAAGGTTGACTTTAAATTGGCTTGGCAGCAAAGTGATATATTTACAAAGCCATATATTCAACATATACTTTTTGTTATCATGACTCTTGCATAATTGTATAATTGATATTTAAGTTTGTAGTGGTTGAAAAGAATGGTGAAAGGTTTTTCCAAAGGAT